CCGCTGGCCCCCTTGTGGGGCCACCAGGCTGTAGGGCGAAGGTTCGCAGTTTCCTGTACAAGTTGCAGTTTCCAGTTTCCACTGTTACAGTTCTGCGCTTCTTGCTTCTTACTGTTCCTTGTTGACTTCTTACTGCATACTTTTCCCGCGCGATGGGGGGAGGCCCAAAACGAACATATTCACCACGCCCTGAGCGTGTGTTCTGAATTGCTGGGGTGGGTAAACTTGATACCCCTCACGCAGATCGGCGGGGTCAGGGTCAAAAAAACACAGGGGTATGCCGCATTTCTGAAATTCGGTGGCACCCCTCATGCAGATCGGCGGGGTCAGGGTCCAAAGACACATGGGATTTGTCAAATGTTTGAAATTGGCTGACACCCCTCACGCAGATCGGCAGGGCCAGGGTCCAAAACCACACGGGATTTGCCACATGTCTGACAGTCGGTGGCACCTCTCACGCAGATCGGCGGGGTCAGGGTGCAAAAAAAAATTGATTTGCCACATTTCTGAAATTCGCTGGCACCCCTCACGCAGATCGGCGGGGTCAGGGTCCAAAAACACGAAGGATTTGCCACATTTCTGAAATTCGGCGACACCCCTTTTGCAAATCGGCAGGGTCAGGGTCCAAAAACACATAGGATTTGCTACATTTCTGACAGTCGGTGGCACCCCATCACGCAGATCGACAGGGTCAGGATCCAAAAACAAAAGGGATTTGCCACATTTCTGAAATCCGGCGGCACCCCTCATGCAGATCCGTAAGGTAATGGTCAAAAAACACCAAGGATTTGCCATTTTCCTGAAATTCGGTGGCACCGACGCAGATCCGTGGGGTCAGGGTCGAAAAACATACAGGTCCGGACACTGCTTTACGGCGGCGCCCAAACCTCACGATGTAGCTTGAATGACCTATTACCCGAGACAGGGGGCCGGCGGCATGAGGCGAAGCCCTCGCGGAGAATCAGAAGATTGCCCATCCCTGTCTCGATCTAGCTATATACGATCCACGGCTTCTATCATTTCACGCACAGACCCCAATATATTTCTCAGATCGGCAACTTGCATGGGCATGCTCACCATGGATCATTTTCCATTATTACCCACAGTAGCTCGTTGCCCCTGGATCCGGATAGCTGACCCAGCGGCCGCGCTGCAATGCCTACCGCTCCTAGAGGCCTCCGCGGGTTTGACGGGGAAGTGGGTTCCCACGTTCAGAGGCCCGACCGTGTAGGATGCTCCTGAGTCCACGGTAACAACTATCGTTTTTCCCACGCCGTTCTCACTGGTGCCTCATGAACTTCCTTGCCGGGCCCCTCCATCTCCACCAGCGGCAGCTCGACGTACTTTTGCATCCAACAGTGCTCCTTCCTGATGCATCCTGCGATTCGGCTACCAATTAGTGCTGTGGTCACAGCGAATACTGCACTCATGTGGTACGCACGTCCTCTGAATCCCTTACCACGCTTCCCTGTTCCTCCGTTTTGTTTCTTGGAATGCGTCCTCCATTCCTGTCCCCCTTTAACTAGCTCCGGTGCCGGGACGTAGCTGATAACTCCACCTGCGTCAATTGGCTTCGACCATGTCGACGCTGTAACCTAACCTCTGCGTTGGTTCTTCTGTGCCTCCAGCCTTTGGCCTGGGGCGACCTCGTTGGCGTTCTTGGGGCAGCGTGTTGCGATGTGACCCATTGCACCGGATTTGTAACACTCCTTCTCACCGGTCGGCACAAATCCTCCCTTACCTCCTCCTTTCCAGCCTGGCGCTTGGTTTCCTTGGTAACCTCATGAAGGATCCTCCTTGTAGCCTCGTTTGACGTACCCCCGGGCAACCCTTGGTGCCCGAATGTCCTCCTTTGTATCCTCCTGCCTGCGCCCTTTGGTAACCTTTGGTATCTTCTGTGTTCCCCTTTCCCACTTACTTGTCCTTTAGTCGTTCCTCTAGTGGCGCAATCTTTGGCAATGTGCCCATATCCTCCACACATGTAACGCATGGGACATTCACCCTTGCCTGTTCTTTTGCTAACTTCGTTTCGCGTCGTCATTTCCAGTCATGTTTTCCCCATCCCAGGTCGATCGGTTGCCACATTCGTCATGGTAACGGGACTCGCTCACGTTCGCGCCCCACTCCCCAATATCTCCACCTGGCCGAACTCCCATGCATGATAAGAGCTTTTGGCAGGCGTTACTGTTTGAGGATCTGGGCGTTTTGAAGCAATCCTGTTGCCAGTCGTCAAACCCGATGCAGCAGCCCTGAACGGCAAAGGCAAAGAGCATACATGCCCGTGCTTGTCGAGGGACTCTACCAACGCACTTCACTGTTCAAGCTGGGTCACCACATCGTTAACCTTCTTGGGTGTTTTTGAAGTTTATGGCCAGGATCATCCTGTGTCACAATGTGACTCCTGCAACGGCCAAATATCACGTATAAAATACCCGGCGAGCCATCAAACTGTTTACCTCGTGCAAACCCCTGTGTTTTCCCCGTGGTTCTGTCCTTTTCAATATGTCATCTAACAAATGCCAAAGGTCCTTGTCAAACTTCGAGTAGTCTTCCTCATCGAGCCCATACTATCCTATAGCGTCGTCGCTTGTCTCTGTTTTGGTGACGCTTTGGTGTATGCACTCAAGGTTAATCTCCTGTTCATGAGTTTACCAAGTCGTCCTCTTCATCATCTGGTAACGCCCCATGCATGGATTCAAGTTTGTTTGAAACATGTCAAAGCTTTCCGAAAAACGCGCCTCCCTTGGGTAAGCGCGTTCAAGAACTTCTCGGTCCACTCCCTGAATTTGGGCCGGTCACCCGAAAACAAATTTAGTTGTTGGACGCCTCGTATTCGCTAATTGGTTTGCTTCCACCTCCTCCAGCCCTCATGCTTCCAGCTGACTGTGTAGTTTCGGCGATATTGGCAGCATGCTCCGAGGCGATCGTTTGACATTGATGATATGTCCTAACATGCTCCCTGAAAGTGTAAAACTGCTCCTCGGAATACATGCTACGTCTGGTGACCGGCATCGGGGGAGCATTCATCCTATAACTCATCTGCAACAGCGCGAATGTTTCGTCTTTCATCAAGGTACCAAGCGTGGTGCTGCGCTCGAAGATCAAAATCATCCCTACGTGGTTGGCTTGGGCAATGGTAACATACCTGAAACCTCCAGTCTCATAACAGGCGTTGCACAGTTCCGCGAGTCGGCCAGGCTTCACGTACTTCACGTAACGATACACTGTAACCCAGGTCGTTGTTGCCGTGACCCAGTGGGGTCACCGCAGCGGCCGCCGCTGCCATGTCTGCTCTGGAACCCGTGGGACGAAACACAGGCTGCGCTACCGTGAAAATATGGTAGGAGCCTTCTGCTGAGAAAGCAAGATTGTACTGGAAGCAAATAAGTGCATCCCACAACTAACATGGACCACTGGGATTCCTGCACCGCGTTGCTCACCCAGTCGCATGGCCATGCTCTAACACCTCCTCCTCCTCCTCCTCCTCCTCCTCCCTCCTCCTCCTCTCCTCCTCCTCTCCTCCTCCTCCTCCCTCTCCTCCTCCTCCCTCTCCTCCTCTCGTCCTCCACCACCTCCTCCTCCTCCTCCTCCTCCTTCTCCTCCTCCTCCTCCCTTCTCCTCCTCCGCCTCCTCCGCCTCCTCTCGTCCTCCGACTCCCTTCTATCCACCCTCTCGTCCTCCCTCCTCCTCATCTCTCCTGCCGCCTCCTCCGTTCTTCCCTTCATCCACTCGTCCTCCTTCCTCCTTCTCAGCCAACAGCCCTGGAAACATGATACGGCACACACTATGAAGGCACACACACAGACGCTCAGATCATAATGACGACTACGTACACACACACACACACACACACACACACACCCTTTTACGCTCCTCCTTCCCCAATTCCCCTTCCTCCTCTTTACTGCAAACCTCCTATTCCTCCTCTTCCTCCTATCCCTCCTCCTCCTCCTTATCCTTATCCTCCTTATCCTCCTCCTCCTCCTCTTCCTCCTCTTCATCCTCCTGATCATAATCAGTATAACCATCATCATAGTGATCACCGTCATCATCAACATCAACATCATCATCATCATCATCATCATCATCATCAGCATCAGCAGCAGCAGCAGCAGCATCATCAGCATCACCACTACCACCACCATCATCATCATCATCATCATCATCATCAGCAGCAGCAGCAGCAGCAGCAGCATCCTCATCATCCTCAGCATCATCATCGTCATCATCAGCAGCAGCAACAGCATCATCATGATGATCATCATCATCATCATCATCATCATCATCATCATCATCAGCATCCTCATCATCATCATCATCATGATCATCATCATCATCATCAGCAGCATCATCAGCATCAGCAACAGCATCATCACCATTCATCATCATCATCATCATCATCATCATCATCATCATCATCATCATCATCATCATCATCATAATCATCGTCATCATCATCAACATCATCATCAACATCGTCATCATCGTCTTTATCCTCCTCCTTCTCCTCGTCCTCATCATCCTCATCATCATCATCGGCTTCGTCGTCGTCCTCAGCATCCTGAATACCATCGTCATCATCACCATCATCATCATCGTCGCCTTCGTCGTCATCCTCATCATCGTCATCATCATCATCCTCATCAGCATCATCACCCTCATCAGCATCATCATCATCACCATCACCGTCACTATCATCATCATCGGCATCAACAACATCAACAAGAACAAGAACAAGAACAAGAACAAGAACAAGAACAACAACAACAACAACAACAACAACAACAACAACAACAACAACAACAACAACAACAACAACAGCAAACACAACAACAACAACAACAACAACAACAACAACAGCAGCAGCAACAACAACAGCATCATTCTCCTCCTCCTGGCGCGCTCGCACGCGCGCGGGACGACGACGACCTGCGCGCGCTCGGGACGACGACGACGACGACGACGACAACGACGACGAGGACGACCCAGCAGCCCAGCGCCTGGCGGGCAGTGGGCGGCCCCCTCATCCTCCCGCGTGGGCGGCGGCGCCGCCGTGGACCTCGCGGCACGCCGGGCTGCGACGGGAACGTATGCACGCTGGGCGTGCCTCACGGGGAAACGTTACAGCCGGGGTTGATTGGAGAGGACACGCGAGAGGACACGAGACCCTTCCGAGGGCCGCCTTGCCACAGGAATGTGAGACGGCATGGATCGCGAAACTCAGGATACTTGTTTGATCCGCGGGTCGAAAGCAAGCCTCTTCCGGTCGAAGCTAAGCGGGCCGCGCACAGCTTTAATTAACAGAGGAAGGAAAAAAGAAGGCGGGGCCTCACGTCAAGGGCAAGAGAGGGCAAAGCCCCGGGATCAGGCGGTGCTGAAAGCGAAGTGCATGCAAAGGAACGCCTTGGACAGAAAAGAAGCTCAGGACACAAGCGTACCCGAGATTTGGCAGGGTCGACCCACTAATCCGTCTCGACTGTAGTGTGAGCAAAGCGCCAACACCTCTGGGAGGGAGGCGCCCTCCCTGAGAGAAGCTTTCGGTTCCAGAACGTCAGCGTCGTCGTCATCGCCGTCGCCGGCGCCGTCGTCGTCGTCGCCGTCGTCGTCGTTGTCGCCGTCCCCCGTAAGCTCTAGCGGCACCGGCCGTAAGGCCTCCGCAGTAGCATGAGTATCGAAGTTGGTATTTGCACATCCTGCAATCGCCGAGTGTTTGGATCGGCGCTACATCCATCCACAGGGGAAGGAGTGCGAGGAGGTGAGGAATGGAGGGAGAGGCAGCCGAGAGGGCGGCGGTCGAGAGGGAGGAGGGGGTCGAGGAAGGGGGAGGTGGAAGGCGAGAAGGAGGAAAAGGAGGAGAAGGAGAAGGAAGAAGCAGAAGGCGGAGGAGGGGAGTAGGATGAGGACGATGTGGCAAAGGAAAAATCATGGAAGGAGTAGGACACGGAGAATGAAGATACTGCCCCCTCATCCTCCCCTTCCGCCGCCCCCTTTCTGATATTTACTCCCTTTCCTCATCCTTCTCCTCATAGTTATGCTCCTCCCTACCACCACCAGCCTCATAATCATCAGAAGCATCAGCACAGTCAGCATAAACAGCAGCCCTAGTATCGTCACCGTCACCTTCATGATCCTCATCATCACTATCAGTCATGATCATAAGCAGAATCATTCAAAAAAAAACGCCAACGTCACCGTCATCATCATAACAATAATCAGCCAAATCACTAGAATCATCATCATCATCATCCTCATCATCGTCATCATAACATTAATCAGCCAAATCATTATAATCATCATCATCCTCATCAGCATCATCATAACAATAATCCGCCAAATCATTATAATCATCATCAGCAGCAGCATCATCAACAACAGCAACAGCATCATCAGCACCATCAAAATCGTCGTCGTCAGTGTAAACATCCATCACGACGTCGTCATACGCATCATCAGAATCGTCGCCATCGTCATCAATACCACAATCAGCACGACCATCATCATAACACACCACCACCATCACCATCATCAAAAACATCATCAGCAGCATCAGACTCATCATCACCAACTTCATCATCGTCAGCAGCATCATTCTAAATTTATCATGTTTCAAATCCGCCGACCTTGTCGGCGTGTGTGCGGTGTCTGTCCTTCCCAGTCGACGGGGAGCCTTCTTTCGTCCCCTCCCGTCGGGGGAGAGAGAGAGAGAGAGAGAGAGAGAGCACCCTTTCTCCCTTGCTCGTTCGGGGAACGGGTTCGCAGCTTGTGGAAATTCCATCCACGTCCTCATTACGTCAAAGGGAAGCCCCTTCCCTTTGTCCCTTCCCCGGCGGGGGTGGGAGATCCCAGGGAAGGGGGGGAGGGTCAGATTCGCATCGCCTCTGGGGGTCCTCCTCTCCCACGCTGGTCCTTCTCCAGCGCGCCGGTCCTCCTCGGGTCCTCCTCCAAGGGTGGGGAGGAGTCCCAGGGGCGGGAGGGGAGTCAGATACGCATCCGTCCCTGGGGGTCCTCCTCCCCCTCCCCTCCCCTCTCCCACGCCGGTCCTCCTCCGGTCCTCCTCCTCAAGGGGGGGGTCCCAGGGGGGAGTCCTTTTCCAACTCCTCCTCCTCCTCCTCCTCCTCCTCCTCCTCCTCCTTCTCCTCCTCATCTCCGCCTCCTCCTCCTCCACCTCCTCCTCCTCCTCCTCCTCCTCCTCCTTCTCCTCCTCCTCCCCCTCCTGGTCGTCGTCGATGTCTTTCAGAACGGCGGCACCGGCCGTCAGGCGCTCACAATACAAAAAACAACAAGCATAACAAAAAAAATGTCGCGAAGGACCCAACCATAAGCAGTGATACGTACCGCAGTTGTGAGTACCATCTTCGGTGGATCCTCCCCCATATGCGGCCACGAAATGTGTGAGGGTGTGCCAAAGTGGCCCGTCCGGCAGGCGGCCTTTTCCACTGGGGCTTTCGGTGGAGCTCCCATACGGGGCGGCCACGGAACGTGCAAGGGGTGTGCAGACTTGGGGCGGCACCGACATGCGGACCCTGCCGCTGCGGCCTTCGGTGGTACCGCCTCGGGCCACGAGGCTTGCGAGGGGTGCGCCAGAATGTGGGATGGAACCGTATGCGGGCGCTGACACTGGGGCCTCAGGTGGGGCACCCTGTGCTGCCACGGAACGCGTGAGGGAATCGCCAAAATGGTGGGAAACCGCGTGCGAGCGCAACCACTGGGGCCTTCGGTGGAGCTCCCCATGGGGCCACGAAACGTGTGAGAGGTGTGCCGAAGTTGCGAGCGGCGGCATGCGGGCCCCGTCCTTCCCGCCCTGCACGCCTCCCCTCGCCCCGCTTCCCCCCCTCCCCCGCTTCTCCCCCGCGCTCCCCGTTCCGCCGCCTCCCCCCCCCCCACCCAACGCACCGTTCCCGCCTCCCCCCCCCTCCCCTGCTTTCCTCCCATGGGGGTGCCTGCCGCGTCTGCCCTGGCTTGGCCAGGGCTGAGGCGACACCACTGCCCGACGCCCTGGCGATGCAGCCCCAGGACCTTCGGGCACGGCAGAGCTTCGTAGGGGCGGACCACCTGCCCATCTGGTACTCCAGATTTCGTAATAAAGGGAGGGGGGTCTCATTTCGGGGGGGGTCTCTTCCAGGCTATCTTGGAGGGCCTGGGGGGGTCTGGGGACGATGTTTTGGAGGGTTCTCCCACGGGGGGGGTCTGAAATGGCTTGTGTTGGAGGGTCCAGACCCCCTCCCTTTTATTACGAAATCTGGAGTAGGCCCACGCACCCAAGGTGGCCCAACGAACAGTGGTCCATGAGCGGATCGAGGACTGACGATGGCAGGCCCTCCGAGCCCGCGACGAGCAGCTGCCCCCCGGCGCGGGCAGCAGGCCGCCACCCAGCAGCACGCCCTCCGCCCCAGAGGGCATGTCGTAGGCCCCGGTGGCGCCCGCGCGGCGCCGCGCAGTGCGCCAGGCGCCTGCCGCCGCCGACGCCGCCGACGCCGCCGCCGACGCCGACGACAAGGACGCCGCCGACGAAGACGACGACGACAACGACGACGACGACGACGACGACGACGAAGACGACAGCGACGACGACGACGACGACGACGACGACGACGACGACGACGACGAAGACGACGACGACGACGACGACGACGACGACGACGACGACGACGACGACGACGACGACGACGACGACGACGACGACGACGACGACGACGACGACGACGGCGGCGGCGGCGGCGGCGGCGGCGGCGGCGGCGGCGGCGGCGGCGACCCCGCGCCGACGACGCCGACAACGGCGGCGGCGACGGCGGCGACGCCGACGAAAACCACGGGCGACAATGCCGACGACGGCGGCGGTGGCGCCGAGAACGGCGGCGTGCCCTCGTTCGGCCAACTGGGCGGCGGCTCTCGCGGCCGCAGGCTGTACATGGCGGGACCTCGACGCTGCCGCCGTCGACGACGGCGACGGAGGCGACTGCCACGGCAACGAAGGCGACGACAACGCCGACGCCGACGACGGCAGCGGAGACGACGGCGGCAAAAGCGACGGCGACGACGCCGACGCCCACGGCGACACCAACAGCGACTGCGACACAGACGCAAACGCCGACAACGACGACGACGGCGACGACGACGACGACGACGTCGACCGACGACGTCGACCGACGACGACGACGATGACGACGGCGACGACGACGACGACGACGACAACGAAGACGACGACGACGACGACGACGACGACGACGACGACGACACCGACAACGCCGCCAACGCCAACGCTGACGCCGACGACGACGCCCACGGCGACTGCAACGCCGACGCCGACGCACACGCCGCCGCCGCCGCGACGACAACGACGACGACGACGACGACGACGAAGATGACGACGGCGACGACTAAGACAAGCACCGCACGCAGGCTCAGGACGAAGACGACGACGGCGGCGTCGGAGCGACGACCAGGCGCTTGCCACTGTGGGGTGCGAGCACGGGAGGGTCCACATCGTACTCCAGAGCGCTGCGAGAGTTTTGGCACGAAACGTTCACATACTTCCTAGTGCCACTGCTGCCATTGGGATCCAGCGAGGCCATGAACAGACACGGTCTGCTATCTAGGCGTCGGAACACATGTTCCAAGGCAGCTCAGAGACGTTCCGAACGGTGGCGGCACCTGTTGGGAGCCAGGACGACGGAAGGGGCCAGCCATGCTGTAGTAGGGCACGTCAGGACACAAAATTGCTGTTCGACACACTTGACGAAGGAGGGAGGGGGGGGAAAGAGGGAGGAGGAAGTGGAGGGGGAGTGGGGAGGCCACCATCAATGTCACCTCCTCCTTCTCCTCCTCCCCGCACTCCCGCACTCCCCGGACTCCCCCTCGTCCCTCCCCCTCCTTCCTCATTCCCCCTCCTCTCTCTACCCTCCCCTCTCCCCCAATCCTCCCGCATTCCTCCTTCTTCCCCTCCTCCTCCTCATGGGCCCCGCCTAGCACGACAGGCTTGGCGGACACGTGCTCGTCGTCACTGGACACCACGACGACCGGCTCGGCCTGCACAGAAGCAGACGAGGATCAGGAGCCCTCTGCCCTTCTCAAACCTGCCGCCTCCACCCTCCTGCTCCCCCCCCTCCTCCCTCCTCCTCCTCCTACTCATCATCATCCTCCTCCTCCTCCCCTTCCCCTCCTCCTCCTCCTTCCTCCTCCTCCTCCTCCTCCTCCTCCTCCTCCTCCTCCTCCTCCTCCTCCTCCTCCTCCTTATCCTCCTCATCCTTTTCTCCTCCCCGCCCCCCCCCCCCCCCTCCCCATACCCCTCCACATCCCTCCTCCCCCTTCCAATACCTCTCCTCCTCCTCCTCCTCCTCCTCCTCCATCCTCCTCCTCCTCCTCCTCCTCCTCCTCCTCTCCTCCTCCACCTCCCTCCGCCTCCGCCTCCGCCTCCGCTCCGCCTCCTCCTCCTCCTCCACCTCCTCCTCCTCCTACTCCTGCTTCTCCTCCTCCTCCTCCTCCTCTCTCCCCTCCTCCTTCTCCTCTTCCTCCTCCTCCTCCCTCCTCCTCCTCCTCCTCCTCCTCCTCCTCGTGTTCCTCCTCCTCCTCCTCCTCCTCCTCCTCCTCCTCCTCCTCCTCCTCCTCTCTCTCCTCCTCCTCCTCCTGCTCATCCTCCTCCTCATCCTCCTCCTCCGCCTGTTCCTTCTTGCCCGCCCGCACCGGTCGGCGAGGAGGATGGCGGAACACCAGCGCAGGGCGAAGCGGAAGGATTTTATCAAATTCCTTGTCCTTATACATAGCCCCTCCCTGTCGCACTCCGAGACGTGTCCGTAGGGCTGGCCGGGCGTTTCGCCTGAGATTTGCCCACCACGTATGATCTTTAAGCCGTTTCACGGATGGAAGGCAGGCCATTTTCAAAATGCGGCTCTTGCCTTTGCGACGCTCAAATTCGTCGCAAAAGATAGCAAGAGCTTCACGGATAGAGGGCGGTCAGTCTTCAAAATGTGTCTCTCGCCTTAGCGCCGCATACATTCGTCTTAAAAGTTCGAAGGTGCTTCCAAGATTCTCATGGTTGACGTCCCAGAAACGGTGATTTGGCACGATGTAAGACTGTCAGGGCGCGACAGTCAGAAAGAAACGCGGTGTTGGAGTCCAGAGGAATACTGCTCTAGCACAGTTCAGGATCGTCGGGCAACAGTCAGGTTGACTTGTGGCGTCGAAGTCCTGAAACCGGTGTTTCGGCACGATTCAAGAATTTCACACGGTTGTGGCCCGACGGGGCACTTCCTCAGTGGAGATGAATCCTTGTAGGGGCCCATGAAGTGGGAGCTTGGAGGGAGGGTGTAGTCGAACATCGTTGATGAGTCTCGGGTTTGCACTGGTCCTCCTCCTCCTCCTCCACCACCTCCTCCTCATCCTCCTCCTTCTCGTCGTCATCATCATCATCAGCAGCATCAGCATCAGCATCGCCATCGTCATCGCCATCGTCATCACCATCGCCATCATCATCATCATCATCATCATCATCATCATCATCATCATCATCATCATCATCAGCATCAGCATCAGCATCATCATCATCATCATCATCATCCTCATCCTCATCCTCATCATCATCATCATCATCATCCTCCTCATCCTCATCATCCTCAACCTCAACCTCATCCTCATCCTCATCATCATCATCATCATCATCATCATCATCATCATCATCATCGTCAGCACCATCGTCATCACCAGCAGCATCATCAAGTCATCATCATCATCATCGTCAACAACAACAACAACATCATCGCCATCATCACCATCATCATCATCATAATCATCGTCATCATCATCGTCATCGTCATCGTCGTCATCATCATCAGCAGCATCATCATCACCACCACCACCACCATCATCATATAAGCATTAGCATCATCATCAGCAGCAGCATCATCAGCATCATTATCATCATCATACTCATCGTCAGTATCATCATCATCATCATCATCAGCAGCAGCATCATCATCGAAATCAGCATCATCATAATCATCATCAGCATCAGCATCAGCATCAGCATAATCGTCGTCATCGCAATCATGATCATCAGCATCATCATCAGCATCTTCATCAGCAGCATCATCGTCATCATCATCTTTATCATCACCACCACCACCACCATCAGCATCATCATAATCATCATCATTGTCATCATCAGCATCATAAGCATCATCGTCAGCACCATCATCATCAGAGTCATCATCGTCATCGTCATAGGCATCATCATCACCATCAGCATCATCAGCATCACCATCATCAGCAGCAGCAAGAGCATCATCATCGTCATCGCCATCATCATCATCATCACCAGCAGCATCATCAGCATCATCATAAGTGTCACCACCACATTCGTCTTATCATCAGCATCGACAGCATGAGCATCAGCAGCAGCACAAACCTCAACGTCATCATCATCATCATAGTCATCATCGTCATCATCATCATCATCGTCGCCGCCATCATCTGCACCATCATCAGAAGTGGCAGAATCATGGTCA